GGGGGGGGCTTCCATCCCTGGCTTTTTTCGCCGGAGGTTATGGAACAATGAGGGAAGAAGGAAGAAACCTTTTCATCCTCCAAACGCCGCCGCTAGATACCCAAATCGATAATTAATGACAATGAATAATTTACACTATCGATTCCCCAAAAGGCGGGGAGGGGGGGGATAGATTGGCAAACATTCCCTTTAAGTTTTTTTTTTTTAAGATAAATCGTACAAGCACCACTCCCTCCTCTCAGTTCCCTAAAACCACAGGAAAACTCTCGGATTTTTGCGCTGGGAAGCTAAATGCAATGAGCATTCCAATCCCAAAGCCCATAGATGCGTGTCCATGCAGAAGGTTGTGTGCACACCTGTGCGTGGCAGGCGGGACAGGACTGGGCGCTTCTTGCAGGCGAGATGCAAGAGTTATATCTGTAGTTTACACCCAGTAAGTGCGTATCGGGCTGACTCTCTCTCTTTTTCTGTGTAGGAGCATAAGCTGTAAGCTTTATTCGGCGGATTAATCAACTGGCCATCTAGTTGATTTCATCAGTGCTATGCAATGGGTTGCGAATTGCCTTTATATGGATCCGCCACCCTTAAGTTCTGATGTCACAGGGCGTCAGATTTGGGGCGGACTGGAGTCAGATTTCATTTCTACCACCGGCGGAGACCTTGGTTTATTAAAATTTACCCACACTTCAGGTCTCCAGACACGCCCGTTGAGAGGTGTTTTTGTCACGTGTGGGTGCATCTAACAAGCAGATTCTCCCCCCCCCCTTTATTGAGTGAAACAAATGTTAAGTAAAAAGTATATGGTGGGTTGGTAATTTGCAGGCACATGCAGAGTGCACACGTGTTTAAGTGGTCGGTGCAGAAGGTTACAGGTGAGGGCCGAGCACGTGTCAGAGCTAGGCCGGGGCCAGCTGTGGCACTCCCCTTAGGTATAAGGTGAGCGTGCATGGAGACGGTTTTGGTTATTTGCACAAATAAAGTATCTGCAATAAGAGAAAACAAGTCGATAATATTTGTCTCCCAGTAAGCAATTTCAGGGCTGGACATTCTCTTGGACTGAAGACTAAGAGCTATCTGTACGGGGGGCGGGGAAGAGAGAGAGACATTTTTCAAAAACAAAACAAAGGACGGTCAAAACAAAACAAAGACCCCTGAAACGTTAAGTATGAGATAACCAGTTGTCTTGATTTTAGAGGATTAAAAAAAAAAAAGAATGGCTTAAATAAACGTTCTTCACTCTGTCTCCTGCGGAAGATGTATAGATCTGGTTAAAAAACGAAGTGTAAGAAGAGAGGAGGGGTGGAGCAAGAAAGCAGGCAGTAAAAGCGCCCGATTTCTTTGGCTGCTCTCTTTCCAGATGTTGGGCTGCCGTGTACTGAGAGACCCTTCCGCCTAGCTGTAGGAATATGCAGAGATGAGAGAAAAAGGGGAGAGCAAACGGGAGGGGGGGGAAGGGATGTGAGTGCGTGTGAGGGAGGAGGGAGGAAGAGAGGGAGGGGGGTGGAAAGCAAAGAAGGGAAAATTCCCTCGGCTACTTGTTATAACATTTCTCCAGGAGGTTGGAGAGAAGTTGAAAGCCTCGGTAACCGAAATCAAAACTAACAAGGAAATGATCAGCGCCTCTCATCTGGGCCCCGGCTCCTGGGGGCCTGCAGGGGGATCTGCTAGCTTCCTCTTTGATTTGTAAAAAATGCATTACCTCCCAAATCAAAAGGAAAATTACTGCAACCGAGGAGGAGCGGCTGGGAGCAGGCGGAGGGAGGGGGGGAGAGGAGAGAGAGAAAGGGAGAGGGACTGGTGCGGGAGGGGGGGGACGCCGGCTTTGGTGACTTCCTAAGGTTAAGGTAAGTGCGTTTCGAGGATATTGTGGAAGACAACGTGAGAAAGGGGGGGGACTTGCGCTGAGAGGTGGAAATGTCCCTGTGTGTCCCGTTTTGAGGGGTGGGGTGGGGGGGCATTAAAAGAAAGGGAAGACCTTCACGCTGGTGGATGAAGCTGTCCATGGTGCTGAAAGAAGTTGCGGGCAGACCAAAACCGAGGTTCCCAGCTGTCAGCTCTCCTCAGCTTCTATTTCTTGGGCTTCAATTCCTAAAACATCTGGATAAAGTGCTGAGCTTTTCCGCTTAAACTGACTCAACCCAAATACTCTAAATACCCCTGCTTCTGAGTAATGGACCCCTATCCTCTCTACCCGTGCTATCTTTTCCTCTATCTTCCCCATCACTTCTTCAACATTTTCTGAATACCCTGTGTTTTTGTTTCTTCCATTGCCATCTCTCTCTCTCTCACACACACACCCGACAGCTTTTAGCCACGCTTCCCACGTTACAGAAACTTATATCTGCTTAAAGTCTAGTCATGAAAGAGACACGTACTGTATATACTGCCCAGGAATAGACAGAAGTGTGGTGTGCAGGCGGAATGAAAAGCGCCGCCAGTTTGTGTACGATTGCATGTCCCTCTATAAAGACACCCACCTCTGAATTGGCTGCAGAAGGAAGGGGGGAAGGGAGGCCACGCACCCTCTCTGGCCCAGTCTAGGTTCTCCAGAGGAGCCGTCCTTAAATCTGGTGGCTTCTAGACCTGACAGACGACATGACCCATTCTTTTTTCTGGACACCAGTTTGGGAAAGGATGCTCTAAAGGAATGCACTGAAAAGCTAATTCTATCCTGCCTTCCATTACTTTTACAGTGTGAACTCACCACATTTCTGGATTTTCTTAATTCTCCCCCACTCCAAGGATTCTTTCACTTAAGTATCTGTGGGCTTAGATCCAATAATAATAATAATAATAATAATAATAATAATAATAATAATAATAATAATAATAATAATAATAATAATAATAATAAAGATGAGGATGAGGATGAGGATGAGGATGAGGATGAGGATGAGGATGAGGAGCTGTCAGGTCAATTCTGAATTACGGTGACCTTTTTTCAGGGTTTTCTAGGTAGAAAGTACTCAAAAAGTGCTTTACCATTCCCTTATTCTGGGGGATCCCTGAAACTGTGCAGCTTGCCCAAGGCTACCTAGGTTGGCTATACTGGTAGAGGCCACAGTGGGGAATCGAACCTCCAGCCTCTGGCTACATGGCTAGTTTCCTGAACCACTGAGCTATCCAGCCAACTCTAGATGCGGGAAGTGGATGCTACATTTTCGTTCACGAGCCCCCCACCCCCCAACATTCTTCCAGCCCCTTCACCTCCTCCTCTTCCTAAATACGGTTCCCATTTACTGAAACACCGAAAGAGTAGCGAGGCCAGAGTATTGGGGAAGTGTCAAGACTTGAAGCAATCGCTGGAGGTTATTCTTCCACTGGGCGTGGGGGGGGAGAGATACTGTGTTGAGCACTCTTATTATCCGTGAGTCTGTACCGGATCAGGACCTCCCCCTGCAGTTAACCCTTGTAGGGTGACTCCGGTTGAACGCACAGGGCGCCTACAAAGCTGTGTACAATGGAATTTCTTTTCTTTCGGGAACGGGGGAGTGATGTGTGAATCTTTTTTTCTTCTTCTCTTCCCGGGACCGGGAAGACGAGGGGAACTGTAAACCTTCATCCTTAACTCTGGCTGGACTCTCGCTCTCCCCCTCGCTCTCCCCCTCCCCTCGCCTGATGCCTGTGATGGAGCTGCAGTTGTGTGCGTGTTGTGGGGGGTGGGGGAAGGGGGAAATAGTTTCAAGCAAACACACGCCGTTAATGAAGACAAAACACAGCCAAGCTGTGAAGTCCGGCTCCATTACCCTTTAAGCCGCCGCCGCCGCCGCCTACTACTACTGCCAGGACTCCGCGGGAGCGCGGCTGCAGCCTGGCTCCCCCCCACACACACACACCTGGTCCCACCGCCACTTCTCCATCCTCCCATCCTTTCTAGCAGGCCACGAATCCGGCTGGGAAGGGCGGGAAGGGATGCAGGGGTCGCAGGAAAAAAAGGAAGCAAGGAAGGGTAGAGAGTGTGAAGGTGGAGAAGGAGGGAGAGGGATAGAAGGAGGTCGGAGACGGAGAGGCAGGAAAACAAGCCCTGTCGGGACAGAGAGGGGAAGGAGAGCGGATACGGGAGAAAGCGGATAAAGAGCGTGGCGTGGGCAGGGAGGGAAGGAAGGCCCCTGAAAAGAGAGGGGAGCGAAAGGGGAGCGCAAACGAGCATGGGAGAGGCTCAGGGAGGGAGAGAGGCGAGAAGTTTGGGTGTTTTTAGAGCCAGTCGTTAGAGAAAGAAAGAAAGAAAGAAAGAAAGAAAGAAAGAAAGAAAGAAAGAAAGAAAGACAAGGGAATGAGCAAAAGAAAGAAAGAAAGAAAGAAAGAGGAGGACAAGGGAATGAGCAGGAGACGGGCGAAGGCGGCGATAAGGAGAGAAAGTGAGGAGGAGAGGGAAGCAAGAGGCGCCAGTTCCCTCTCCCTCTTTCGTGTCCGGGAGGCGAATCCATAAATGATGCGGCTCGCCGGCCCGGGTGTCACTCGCCAAGCGCGGCGCGCAGTCGCCGATGGCCCCGCCGCCGCCGCCGCGGTAATTATCTGACAGGCCGGGCCGACCGGCCGGCTGCGGGGGCAGCGGGGCGGAGAGAGAGAGAACACACTTGAGGATGGTTGCCAGCTAGGGAGGAAATTGCCCCCCGCTCTGAGCGCCAGCCTAATTCCCCGCAATGGAAACGCGGCCGGGAAAGGTAAGGATTGACTTTGCGCAACTGTGAGGCGCAAGAAGTGAATCCGTGGGGAGAGGGCAGTGGGGGCTGCGGAGGGGGGGGGAGGTAGAGAGGAAAATCCGTGGAAAGGCCTTGGAAGAGCCAAAAAGACAGACAAGGGATGGTTTGATACAACTTAATGGGGGGAGGAATGAGCTGCGAGTTTCTACTAAAGGGGGGGGGAAGAAAAGATTTCTAGAGTCTTTCCCCCTGGTTGCAATGGGTTTGCTCTTCATGCTACTGTTGTTGCTAACACGTCTTTCCATCCTTCCCCATGTTGAAACGCAGGTTGTACGCTCCAGGAAACCCTTCTTCTTAATGTCATTTTAAATCTTCACTTGTTTTGCTGATGTAAGAGGTCCGGGAGGCAGAGACCTTATACTTGCCTTACTGGATACTCTAGGATAAGAACAACCGGTGTCATATTTGCGCGGAAAAACCAGAAGGGCTGGGAAAGAGATTTTATTGAATAGGATTGTGGTATGGGGACGGGGGTGTCAGCGGTGGGGGGGGAGCTGGATTGCCCTGGGCCCTTGGCGAGGTGTATCATGCTCGACGGTGCAGAAGAGGTAAGCGTTGGGTGAAAGCAGCGGGAGAAAGGGGGGGGCTCCTGTTTGGAGAGCTCCCTAGGAGGAGAAAGGACGGATTCTGACTCCCCGTCAAAGGACAGTGGTCCGCAGAAAAGCGGAAAGGGTGGGGCATTGCGCTGCGCTTCCTATCCTTTGTGTTCACAGACCCATCTTCTCCTCCTTTAGCCGGTAGCTCAGTGGTTTAGCTAGAGATTGTGAGTTCGATGCCCGACTCGCCTGGGTAGCCTTGGGCCAGCTGCAGAGTCTCAGAGCCGCTCCCAGAAGACGGGAATGGCAAAGCAGTCCTGAATCTTCTCTCCCTGGAATACCCTGAAAAGGGTCATCATCAGAAGTCAGAATTGACCCGGACGGCACCTTATTATTTTTCTCTTGTCTAAGAGCGATAGACAGAGTCAGCTCTCGGCTTAAATATGCTTGGGAGTGGGAAATGTTTTAATAGGCGCCCCTCCCCAGCCGTCAAACCAGCCTTCGGAGGGAAGGGAGGCGGTTCTGATTTCGGTCTAACTGTTGCGCCTCCGCTTACCCCTTTGCATGGCTCTCCCCCTCCCCCCCCCCGCTAGAACAGGAGAGTCAACGGAGACACGTGTTTTAGCGAGAGAGGCAGCTAAGTACATCAATGAATTATTCCGTCGATTTCCAGGAAGGTTGTGAAGCTTCAGGTGTACAAGTAAAAGTTGGGAAATTCCTCGAAGACTTCGCGTCAGGAAAATAAACGGTACAGACGAAGAACAGGCGAGGTCTGGCCATCTCTTTATCTCTCTCTCTGCTTTAGACACGGAGACTCGCCTGAGCAGGCGTGCAAGAAAGTGTGATACCTTCCGTAGGCGCGCACTCACTTCTAGGCGCGCCGCGATTATGTTCACACAACCGTAAACCCGCGCGTTTCCTTAATCCAGACACGCTGCCGCGTAACAGACACGGGGATCCGTAGGATGCGGATGACCAAGCAGAGGAGCGCCCCCTGTCTGAGGGTCAGGTTCCTTTCTCCGCTCCGTCCACCAACCGCAAGCTCCTTCTGTCTGGCTAGAGGCCGGCTGAGATTTACTCGGGAGTAAATCCTTCCCCTTAGTCGCAACATACCTACCCTGGCTCCCTTCCCACAGGGCAGTTTCAGCTTTTAAGAAGTGCGCCGTTTAACTCACGGGTTGGAAAACGGATATTCCCCACATGCATACGTACTTCCGTGATGTGGGGTGTGCGCCTTCGAGCGTCTTAGGGGGAACATCTGCAAATATAACGTGTGTACCGATAAACACAGCGAGGACTGGTCTCAGCTGGGTCTGATTCTGAGTGTTTCAGCTTGTAGAGGGAAGGGGAGGCAAATTTGCAGCAAAGGGCAATGAAGAAAAACAAAAGCAAATATCTCAGACTTTGTGCAGAGAAATTTGCCAGTCCGCAGTCTGTTCCACGGGCTAGGAATCCGAGGCGGTTGTGCCCTGATCTCTCGCTGTCCCGGGTGCGAATGCTGTTGAGCGCCCCCCCTCACCCCCCACGGGCTTGAACTTTAGTGACGCACGGAGACCGGAATTTTAGGTCGAACTGGCGACCTCTTCGTTTCCCTTCCCGTCCCGGTGAGGTTAAGTCCTGGAATGAACGCTCGTCGTACAGGGCAAGAAAGTTTGACGTGTCAGGGGGCCTCTTGGTGCTCTGTAAAAAAAGAAAAGAAAAAGGAGAAGAAGTGTATGGGAACGTTACTTTTTTTTGGACTACAGTTTCCAGAATCTTAGATCCTTTGGGCATCTGAGAACGGCTGTCCAAAAAGCAACGTTACCGCGTTATGGGGAGGAGGGGGGGAGAAGGAACTTGTCTTAACTTTCTCTCTTCTCTTTGTTCCTTCCCCCCCCGAAAGAATTGTGAGAGTCTGACCCAAAATCTTCACCTGTTTATTATGTCAAAAGCTTCTGTGAGGTCTAAGAATACCACAAATGTATTCCTTGGTGGCCCCCCCCCCGGTCCGGTCTCACCACCCATCCCTCCCTTCTCCCTTTGCAGGTGTAACTTCTCTGCACCATGGACTGTAACTGCGTCTCGGACTTGCTGCTCACCTCCCCGATGCCAGCTCTCTGGACTCCAGGTAAATGGCTTGTGTGTGTCTGGGGGGAAACCCACCCACGCGCCGGCCCGCCCTTGAAGGCTGTCCTCACCAACCCTACCAGGGCCTTGGATGGGCGAGGGGGCTCCCTGACGTCCTCCTCTTTAAGTAGCTTACGGTTGGTGGGTTTGGGGATGCTGCTGCTGGGGAGGGGGGGCGCAGAAGGAGGCGCAGTTGCCTGGACACTCGGGCGCCTGACACGTGTCATGGAAGAACAGGGAGAACTGCCAGGTCTGTCCCGCCTATGGTTTCTAGAACTTAGACATCCATGGCAATGAGTTATGGATCTGGCTGCAGAACATCTCTCTCTCTCTCTCTCTCTCTCTCTCAATGGCATTGCTGGGGGCTCCCCAGTGATCTCTAAGTCTTCCCGGTACCATTTAGATGTTTAAGGATGAGGTTGTTCTCCAAAAGTTCTGCTAGAGAGTTAGGGATTGCATACCTGATTCCCCCTTCCCTTTGCCCCCCCCCACTTTATCATCCTCTCCCAACCTGGTGCCCAGCAAGGCTGCCCAGCTTAACAGATCTGGAGGACACTGGGATGGGAAATCTAGCAAATCTCTCTCTTCTTGCTCCTCTTTCTCTCTCTGTCTCTCTCACACACACTGTCACATTTCAGACCTGCTGTGTTTGGGGAAGCCTATGTTGCAAAGGGCAGGGAAACCTGCATTTTTAGTGTGACTGTTGCAAAACAACAATAACAACAGCAATCTCTAGAAATCAGGTCTGGGAAGTCTTTCCCTCCTAATCCCAAATGAGTGTCTATGGCATTCAGCTATGAAGGCACTCTGCACACCCTCAGAGGCTATCTACTCTGTGTTACTACTTTGAGTATGCCAGCATACTCAAAGATTCCAGGACAAGAGGCTCATTTGTTATATTCTTCATGGAAAACAACACATCTTCTTCCTTGTCTTTTGCACACTTTCCATTTTTTCATGCAGAGGTAATCCTCCGTGTGTAGTAAAGTTGTCATTTAGATTTTCTGCCAGGCCTCCAAATGTATCAGATGGTCAACCCTATTCCTGTGTTCTTCTCCTTCCTAGAGACATGCCACACCTGAGAGTGTTTAATGTCACCTCCTGGGTTTGTTTTGGATATTTTTAAGAGGCAGATTTTCAGTTTTGCAAATTGCAACTCATAAATCATTGGGAGATTTTGAGCCTCCCCTTCACCTGGCGCTTACATGGGGAGGTCTTGTGGAGGGAGGACGAGGAAGTCTTCCCAGGTGAGCTTGAGTCAAAGGGTTTCTCTTTTTCACTTTTTGGAAATCCTTCGATGACACATGGCTTATATACACAATCTACTATAGTAGAAAAATAATAATACCTCTGTGTTCTATTACTATACTATGGACTCTTCATCATCACAGCAAAACTAGGTAGACAAAATTAATATGCAAAATTTTTTTTTAAGAATACACACTTAAATATTGAAAATGATCTATTATCTCAGTATGCCAGCTAATACTAATATTTGCATGCTCTTTTTCTTTTAAGTCTCTCTCTCATAATTACAGGTTGAATCTAGGCTTAGATATAGTACCAGTAATTAGAAGAGACCCATTAAAGCCATGGTACTGTACTGTACTTAATTTAGCCATGGTGACTAACTGTAGATCCATATGGAAAAATACAGACTTTAGTAACATTTAGAAGGCTGTCTAGATAACTCAGTGAGTTGTGGATCTGGCCGCAGAACCTGTGGTTGGGAGTCTGATTCCCCACTTGGGCCTCCCCAGGGGAGTCTGATTCCCCACTTGGGCCTCCCAGGAGTTGAGCCAGCCCGGGTGGCCTTGGGCAAGCTGTACAGTCCCAAGATGCCCCCAGAAGAAAGGAGTGGTCAACCACTTCTGAGTATTCTTGTACAGGTTGAATCTAGGCTTAGATATAGTACCAGTAATTAGAAGAGACCCATTAAAGCCATGGTACTGTACTGTACTTAATTTAGCCATGGTGACTAACTGTAGTTCCATATGGAAAAATACAGACTTAGTAACGTTTAGAAGGCTGTCTAGATAACTCAGTGAGTTGTGGATTTGGCCGCAGAACCTGTGGTTGGGAGTCTGATTCCCCACTTGGGCCTCCCCAGAGTTGAGCCAGCCTGGGTGGCCTTGGGCAAGCTGCGCAGTCCCAAGATGCCCCCAGAAGAAAGGAGTGGTCAACCACTTCTGAGTATTCTTGTACCTAGAAAACCCTGAAAAGGGCCACCTTAAGTCAGAATTGGCTTTGTTGTTGTTGTTGTTGTTGTTGTTGTTGTTGTTGTTGTTGTTGTTGTTGTTGTTGTTGTTGTTGCTGCTGCTGCTGCTGCAGCAACAACAACAACAACTACTACTACTACTACTACTGCAACAACAATAATAACACTAACACTAACACTAACAATAATGACAACGACAACGACAACGATAACGATAACAAGAACAACAACAACAAACAACAACAACAACAATAACACTACTACTACTACTACTACTACTACTAATAATAATAATACTAATACTAATACTAATACTAATACTAATACTAATACTAATACTAATAATACTAATACTAATACTAATACTAATACTACTACTACTACTACTACTACTACTAATAATAATGATGATGATGATGATGATGATGATGATGATGATGATGATGATGATGATGATGATGATGATGATGAGAGGAGGCCTGTTGAAGTCATGGGCCTTTAAGCTAGCAATGAATCAAAGTGTATTATTTTGGCACAGATCTACCTAATGAGAAACAATCAAATTAAACCAAGAGTACAGCTACAAATAATAAGAGCAAATAAACAGAAAAGGACCCTCTGCGCTTTTCAGAGCAGTACAAGAACCAAATTGCTAATCCATAACCTAAACCAAACTTCTCCCTAAAATGCTAAGCATGAAAGCTTAAAAAGGAAGTGTTTGGCTGGCTGGGGAAGTCATAATAATAGCATGAGTAGAAATTAACATCCCATTGAACACGTGTGCAATATTTGCTCCACTGGGGCGATCCAAAGAAGTTCATTTAGCCTAGTGGTTGGGAGTTCGATTCCCCAACATGCCTCCTTGACAGGGGCTGGACTCAATGACCCATGGGTCCCTTCCAGCCCTACACTTCTAAGAGGATGATGATTTTATGTTTATTGGGATGCACAGGGGAAGACAGTGCAAAGCTGTTATTTTGTGTAGACATTTATCCCACCCTGCCCTCTCAATGAGCTCCCAGTGTTGAGCTGGGCTTTCCTGCTCCCTCTTTGATCTTCACAACACCCCTGCGAAGTAGGTCTGAAGGAGAGTGTGCGTGGCCTAGGGTCACTCACTCAGTTTCATGACTGAGTGGAGATTTGAACCCAGGGCTCCTGAATCCTAGGTTTCTCTAACCACTGCCCTTTGCTGGCTCTTCCTGCTTCTTGCAGATAAGCTACGTATATCAAACACAAACATCACATCCTGTACTTTGGTTAAAAAAAAGTTGTGTATACACTGCCATGCATTTCTCAAAGCTTGTGTCAACTGCATAGCTCACGCCAAACATCCTCTGGTTGTTTGTTAACTACTTAAATCGTCATCGAATGTCTGGTAAAAATGAAACATCCAGATTCACTATGGAGCATTTTAGTTTGCAAACAAATTGATTTGGGATCCAGGAGAGAGAAGATCCTGTAAGTAGAAACTCAGCTGTACAAGTGTAGAGCTGCAGAATAATTCCTGCACATTCTGAGCTTGTTATCTCCCAGGTACCAATAATAAACAAACCAATGCTTTGATTATAGCCACTCATTTCACACAACTAATAATCCCACACCCCCAAGCAAAATCTCCCCCAGGGGTGTAGACAGCTCTGGAGTTTGTAGCTCCAAGCTGAAGGCTGGAGGGCAACAGGAACAATCATAGGATCTTCCTTTCGTTTCTTGAAAAACAAAACCTCAGGCCACTGTTTTCCATGCTGAGCCTCTGAGGACAGAAGCCTTACATGTTTCATTCGTCGGCTGACTCTAGCTGACTTTTTTCCCCCCATACACTGAAGCATCTGGGCCCTGAAGCCGAAGCAAAAAATAAAAAAATAAAAATCTGTGCAGCCTGACGCAATATTCTACCTTTTTGTATCTCACTCATTCTCCAGGGAACTCAAAGCCACACGTACAGTTTATTCCACATCACTTCCATTTCAACAACAACTTTGAGAGGTACACGACTTTTGGGGTCACAAACAGCCTGTAAGCCTCAAGGTTAAATCCAAATGTCCTCACTCTGACACATGAATTTCTGTAGCACATCAGTTCTATGCAAAGTGGCTTTGTCTAGATATAAATACGAGTGGTGCCTCGCTAGACAGTTACCCCACATGACAGTTTTTTTTCCGCTAGACATTGACTTTTTGCGATCGCTATAGTGATTCGCAAAACAGTGATTCCTATGGGAGAATTTCACTGGACAATGTTTGGTCCCTGCTTCGCAAACCGATTTTCACTAGACAACGATTTTGACAGCTCCCTCCGCACTTGCAAAATGGGTGTTTTCGGGACCTAAGCTTCGCAAGACAGTGATTTAAACAGCTGATCGGCGGTTCGCGAAGTGGCTTTCCTATGGCCGATCTTCACTAGACAACGATGACTCTTCCCCATTGGAATGCATTAAACAGGTTTCAATGCATTCCAATGGGGGAATGCTTTTTGCTAGATGATGATTTCGCTAAACAGCAATTTCAGTGGAACGGATTATCATCGTCCAGCGAGGCACCACTGTATATTATCTATTTCGATTTCTTAAGTCCAGTTGCCCTGCTGGTGGGAGCCAGTCTAACACTCTGTCTGCACCTTCAGCCTTCTTAGCCTCCCGTCAGCTTCTGCTGTTACACACCCTGTGTTTGCTTCGCTAGTTTGTAAGGATGGGATGCTGGAAAGAGGGTGTAAATCAGGCTTATTTGGCTGAAAAGTGAATATGTATCTTTTGCTCCTCTAATAAACATGCCTCCTTTGGGGGGCAA